ATTTAAATATTTCCTACTTACTACTTCAGGTCCACAGAATTTTGGGGAAAATATATATATCAGGCTAGGCTTTATGGTTCTTTAGACCTTTCTCTATTTACCTTACCAAAATGTCAAATCTTAAATAACATTGAGTTTGACTTTGACATTAGGGATGTTCCGATACCATCAAAGTATCGATACCTACTCATATCAGTAGTACTCAAATCATGTTTCGATACTACTCATACAAATACTCCTAATGTATCGATACTTACTGATATCGATACTTTTAGATTTTTTTAATGAAATTAACGTAGCAAACACAAACGTAAAAACAGATACAAGGAAAGTTTGGTTATGGCACACTTAACAAAGACGGAGAACAATTACTGGAATTCTGTGCGCGACATCACCTGGCAGTAGTTAATACCTTCTTTAATAAAAAGTCGGAACACCTAGTCACACATAAAAGCGGGAACAAGCAATCTGAAATTGACTATATCCTCACAAACAGAGATTTATTAAGAACTTTCAGAGACTGCAAGGTAATACTGGGCGAATCTTTGACCTCACAGCACAGAATTTTGGTCGGCTGTATATCGCTAATCAAGCCAATAAAATACACCACGGTCAAAATCCCCAAAAATTAAGTGGCACCTGTTAAACACAGAAAAAGGAGACAAATTATTAGAGGAGATACGGGACATACTAATTGAAGATATGAAAAATGGCCCTAACATTTCTGCGGAGAATACGTGGTCTAAATTTGAAAAGCTGTGCAGGAATTCATCTAACAAAAACTTAGGAATATCGAGAGGAAAGCTGCATAATAACAAAGATCCTTCATGGTGGAATGAAGAAGTAAAAGGCGCATTAAGGAACAAGAAAGAGTGGTTCAAACAACGGCAGAGCTCAGGTTTAGACGACGACCGCATACTATATAAAACCGCTAAAGTGGCGAAACAAAGAAATGACTCCAGGGAAAAGTTCTACAAATGCCTTCAAAATGCAAACAATAATAGAGATATATTTAAGCTCGCCAAACAACGCCATAAAAACGGTCTGGATATTAAAATTAATAAATACATTAAAGACGAAAATGGCCATTTACTAACAGAAGATAACAAAATTAATGAGCGATGGTGCCAATATTACCAAAAACTACTGAACGAAGAATTCCCGAGTCAACCATTGAATACAACCCCTAGCGTAGCTGGGCCATTGAACAAAATAGGTGAAGAGGAGGTCAAAAGAGCTCTGAAAAAGATAAAAAACCACAAGGCAGTTGGACCGGATAGTATACCCGCTAATCTGTGGAAGCTGCTGGGGCGTATTGCTGTACAGTGGCTAACGAAGCTCTTTACTCAAATCTTAACCTCCATGAAGATCCCAAAGTCCTGGCGTCATAGTTATCTGGTACCTTTCTACAAGAACAAAGGAGATGTCAGTGACTGCGGCAATTATAGGGGTATAAAACTTACTTCCCATACTTTGAAACTATGGGAGCGCATACTCAACAATCGACTTTGTCAGTTGGTGTCCATATCTAATAATCAGTGTGGTTTCGCGCCAGGAAGATCAAAGACTGATGCAATCCAAGCCATAAGGATTCTGATGGAAAAACACCGAACCAACAGAGAAGACCTCCACCTAGTGTTCATAGACCTGGAAAAGGCTTTCGACAGAATACCATGTAAATTAGTTTGGGAAGCTATGAAAGCACAACAAATACCAGAACTCTATATTTACCTGGTGCATGATATGTATCAAACATAAGCACACAGGTGAAAAGCCTGGCAGGACTTAGCGAACCGTTCCAAGTTAAGGTCGGAGTGCATCAGGGATCGGTACTAATCCCATTCCTATTTAACCTATCTCTGGATTATCTAACTAGACATCCAGTCCCCCCTCCCGTGGTGCATGCTATATGCGGACGATATTGTGCTTATCGACAAATTTGCGATTCAGCTGCAAACGACACTCGAACAATGGAGACAGGCTCTCGAGAACAATAGCCTTCATATCGGCAGGAGCAAAACCGAGTTTCTGAGATGCAGTTTTAGTGAAAAATATACGCCTAACATAAGTGTCTCCATCGACGGCCAGCCACTGCCCTGCGTCAATAAATTTAAATACCTCGGCTCAGTGCTAACAGCGGATGTGAACATTAACGCAGACGTCACTCATAGAATTAATGCAGCGTGGCTAAGGTGGAGAACCCTATCTGGAATACTTTGCTATAGCAGGATGCCAATACAACTGAAAGACAAGATTTACAAAACTGCTGTAAGATCTGCTATGTTATATGGTGCCGAATGCTGGGCGGCCAAGAAGATTCACGACAAAAAGATGCACACGAATGAAATGAAAATGCTACGATGGTCAGCAGGCGTAACGAGACTTGATAAAGTGCGCAATGAGTACATCAGAGGTTCCTTTAAAGTTGCGCCCATTGTAGATAAGATGGTCGAGAGTCGTATGCAATGGTATGGGCATGTAATGAGGCGGGAAGAAGAACACCCAGTGAGGAAGGCCTTGGCAATTCCAGAGAAAAAGAAAGGCAGGGGACGTCCGTTATCCACGTAGTGGACAACCGTATCCAAGGATCTGAAACGAGCACAGCTTGAAATACAGACAACCCAAGATAGGAAACCTTGGCGCATAAAACCGAGGAGAGCCGACCCCAAATAAAGGGACAAGGCAAGGAAGAAGAAGAAGAAGAAATTAACGTAGCAAATATTTCAAGCCCCACAACTATCTATTCTGCCCTGCCACTTTAGATAACATCGCATAGACCAATGAACTAAAGAACTATTATGAACCTTTTTTTTTTTATAGGAGAGGGGGCAAACGAGCATGCGGCTCACCTGAAGGTAAGTGACTACCGCCGCCCATGAACAACTGCAACACCAGGGGAATCGCAGATGCGTTGCCGGCCTTTTAAAAAGGAGTACGCTCTTTTCTTGAAGGTCCCTAAGTCGTATCGGTCCGGAAAAATCGCTGATGGTAATCGATTCCACAAGGAGGTCGTGCGAGGAAGAAAACATCTTCTAAATCGCACAGTGGTGGACCGCCAATCATCCAGATGGTGTGGATGGTATCGGGAGTTATGCCGCGATGTGCGTTCGTGAAATTTGGCGGCTGGGATTAATCCGAACAATTCCTCAGAGCACTCCCCATGGTAGATGCGAAAGAAAATGCAAAGGGATGCAACATCTCTTCGTAGTGCCAATGAATCGAGCCGATCGGAAAGGGCTCGGTCGTCGACAATTCGAGCCGCTCTGCGTTGGATGCGGTCAAGTGGAAGGAGCTGGCACTGGGGAGCCCCTGCCCAGAGATGGGAACAGTATTCCATGTGAGGCCGAACTTGCGCCTTGTAAAGTAGCAGGCTGTGTGCCGGCATGAAATACTGTCCCGCTCTGCTGAGTACGCCAAGCTTTTTAGAGGCCAATTTGGCCTTCCCTTCCAAGTGACCACGAAACTGCACGTCACTCGATAATAACCTAACCTAAGTACCTCACCTGACGAAATTTATTAGTGAAAAGTTGAAGACCCTACCTTTCGTTTGTCCCTTTATCTGCTTTTTTCTGTAATTTGCCTTTATCCACAGTAATTCCATGAGTTTTGGAATGCTTGAATAAATTAGACGTTTTGCCACAATATTTCACAGACAAATATTGATTACATTTTGTAGTTGTTTCGATGGTTTTGGTAAAATATGTCCATATTCATGATTTTGGTGGTACCATGATAACATTGGAACAATAAACCGATGACTACAATAACTTAAATTACTCGAAACGTAATCATAAACAATCACTTGTGGAATGCTGAACACTTCTAGTGCTGACTGGACCAGTGACAATTTTAATGTAATGTGGCTCCTCTCTCTCGGTCTCGGCTCGGGTGAAGTCGGACGGGTTCGGCTCATATTTATTAGTACCGGAATGTCCCTATTTGACATCATTAGGACAGTTACTACTTACTATTAGACGTGGGTCGTTACGTCATTTTCAAGAAACGTAACGAAACCAGTGACTTGGTCGGCATCACCTGTTTCAAAACTAGTGATTTTTGTAACTGGTTATTTTTATTTGGCTACTGTGATTATTTGCATAAATACCACCAAGAACTATACAGTTACACACGAAACGTAAATAAATTTAATCACTATCTAAGTGTTTCTAGCTATACAGTTAAATCAATAAATTAACTTCCCTTCATACTTTAGTCAGGCTTAGAACTGACTGCATTAAATGTATTTATGATTGTTTTGTATTTACTATGAAACTAAGATTTTCATAAAATTATTAATGCATAGATATTTACAAGTTAATTTTATTGTATATACAATGATTATTGATATTCACAGTTTATTTAAACTTGTACAATCCACACTAATTATATTTATATAATATAATAACAAAGAAACGTTACAGTAAATGTACATAAAACACCAAAATAACATATAAATGTAAATTTTTACAAGATAGTATTCAAAATTATAAACAAGTACAACGATGAACTAAAACAAACTAAATTATTTTACTTAATACTTCGCTTCCCGGAATTGCAAACCGTTGAAATTATTTACAAACAAAGATCACTCTATTTATATTGTCTATATCTATAGTCTTACGTATGAAAATTAAACGTACAATAATACTGTTACATACGCTGTTTTGTTTATTGTTGTATGCCACATGTGCGCTTTGCGCTTGACCGACCGACAGTCGACTCTCGCAACAATCACAGTTAACAGTAATAACGCATTTACAAAAATCACTATTTGTAATATGACTCGAAACTAGTAATTCGGTTACATGCCGCGTAGCCAGTTATTGTAACTAGTGACGTGAAATAACGCCCACGTCTACTTGCTATACTCTTTGGACATCATTTTGTCATCAAAGTCAAACAAAACAATGTCTAACGTAAAAATATAAATAATATTTTAGCAACGTAAATAAATGTAGATACAGATCACATCTTAATATATATATATCTATCTCTCAAAAATGACTTCAGATGCATTAAGTGTCTCACGCAGAAAATTAAACGAAGTATTGGGTGACAAATCTACAAAATATTTCAACCACATGAAGCAATGGTTTCGCATGAAATTGACTAAAGAAGAATTTGATGCTGAAGCTCGAACTTTACTGACTATAGACCAAGTACATTATCATAATGAATTTTTATTAGCACTTTTGAACAAAGTTGAAGGCTTAGCAGAAACTTCTATAACTATAGCACAAGAGAAAGCTAGTTCACACATTAGGAATAGCAGACGTCACAAAAGAAGCTCTCGTACTTCAGAAAAGTCTAACTTCGAAACCGCTGATCTGTTAGAATATTTACCTCCAAACTCTCCACCTGGGGCTGGAAGTGATGGTGTCAAATATGCTGCACAAGTAAAAATAACAGTTCTAATATGATTACAATTTTACAATTACAATAATTTAAATCAAATTGAGGATGAAAAGGAAAATATCTCAATGTTAGCATAAATGCCAACCATACCTGCATATAGTGTACCTTGCTAGTTTATCATCAAGACTACTAACTAACTGGTTACTGAATGTCCACTTATTTCTTTTTTTACACGCTATCGAAAGTTCTCTGGTAAACAAAGGCCTCCCCTTTAGATTGCATATATGGCATAGATGGCAAATGTGTCCCATATTGTATTTTATATCTATACAAAATTAAAATTTTTATTGTAGATTTTAAATTGACTTAATAGTTTTAAAGCAGTGGCTGATGTTTACTATCTGGTTAAACAAATTATTATTGTTATCAAGCTTAATCACAAACTTATATTAGCTTTTATTAAGCTTATTTCTTCAAGCTAAGCTGCTGGCCTATTGCCACTTTAGCTTACCAATCTGTTCGGCTATGTTGGTTACTCTGGTTTTACTGTGGATATCCTCATTTCTAAGTTTATCATGCAGTGAAATCCCAAGCATAGCCCTCTCCATAACTTGCTGAGCGACCTTGAGCTGCCTCATAAAAAGTAGTAGATGAAAAAGTCATAAAGGAAATAAATGGATGCAGGTGGCTCAGAACAGTGCTTTGTGGCATTCCTTTGGGAGAGGCCTATGTTCAGCAGTGGACTTGTGAAGGGCTGTAATAATGATGATGATAAAGCTAAATTTTATAGTTGGCAATATAATTAAATTCTTTATACCAGATGTAAAACACTCAGACCGACAGAGATCAGCCTCAAAGCTGGGAAATGTTAGAATCTGCAATCACCAATCCGCTTGCCAAATGTGCTGATTAAGACAAGTCCTCCCTACACTGTATAGGCGAATGTCCAACAGTGGACTTTTATGTAGTCATGAATTAACTAATCAACTCTTAATATGCTTTTAATAACACTTGTCTAACCATATCCAAACCAAGAGAATCTCTTTCAATAATCATGAAAAATTTTACAATTGGTCCAGTGTTTTCAGCAATTACCTCCAAATGTGTGGATGAAACAAACCCACAAATTTTAATGTAACTGTTTGGTTGATGAAGAAGAAGAAAAAGATAAGATTAACCTGACAAATTACATATTGTCCTCTTTTACAGGAAATTTTTCTACCAGACCATGCATTGATTGTTGGACGGTTTATGCTTGCGGCGTGGGAACTTGGCCTGGAAGGAGCAGATGATGAAGCAGCAGATTTGATTGTAGTTGCTGTACAAAATTTCCTTAAAAATGTTATTAGCGCTGTTATATCACAGCGTAAAGGATATAAAACTAGAAATACACATTTCACATATGATATTGGTGGAGACATGTCTAATATGTGGCTTCGGAATTCCAATAAATTATATGATCCACAAGGCGAAGGCAGAGTCAATTTAGATGACAGCACTGATGCTTTGGGTCCACGATGTCCACCAACTATAGATGAAGTAGAACAATCAGCAGTTCTTGAAATTGCTTGCAGGTTTGTAATCTTTAGTTAACTTTATTTATGTGGTATGGTGGAATTTAGGATTTTTGTATTCAATTCTTACTTATATTCACTTTTCATAGCTACCTCCTAATTTAAGGCCAATTAAGATCAAATCATCATCATCATCAACATTCTTTTCAGCCTATCAAAAGTCTACTGCTAAACACAGGCCACTCCCATAGACCTATTCACAGAAGAATATTTGCTGCTGCCCATCTCCTGTTCATTTCCCTCCATTGCCGCTTACAACACCCACACTATGATATGAGGTAGTGAATTAACAGAAACAGAAACACAAACTTTTTTATTCAATATAGATTATAAATAATACTTATTGAAAGTCACTCTTTTGTTTGATTACCACTGGTTCGGAAAAAACCTCTGTCCTGGGAAGAACCAGCAAGAAACCCAGCGGGACTTTTTTTAAATAACAGCTTACAATCATGATGTTACACAAATTAACAACACAACAAATTAGAAATAGCTTGGTAGCGATCACCTCATTTCCAGGGATTATTATCATCCATAAATTCCTTAATATTATAATAACCCTTTTTATACAAACTTAGTTTAATAAAGTTTTTGAACTTTGAGCAGGTCAAACTGTATATTTTCTGGAATTTTGTTGTAAAAGCGTATACATCGCCCCAAGAATGAATTACTGACTCGATGGAGTTGAGTAACTGGTACTACTAGCTTGTGTCTGTTCCTAGTATTTACAGAATGGATATCACTTATTTTTGTAAAACTACTTTTATTTTTGTGTACGTACATTACATTTTCATAAATGTATTGAGAGGCCAAAGTTATATAAATTATCTTATACCCCCACTATATGATGAAGAAAAATTGATTACAAAAAAGAAAGGCTGCTGTTGTTTTTTATATTTTGTCTTTGTGATGCAAAATTTGTTTCTGATAGTTTTTGAGAACTATAGTATCTTTAGAAAAACCCTGCATTTTGAAATTTATAATAGCAGCTTTATGCTGCTGTGTTTTATATGGTAAACATAGAGAACCAGTGATCCTTTTTACTGGTAAGAGGTATTCCATCTTAGTCCTCAAAGGTTCTGCATTTAGATTCTTAATGGTTCAGTGCGAATGGCACGCCAGGCGTGCCATCGATTACTTTTGTGTATGGCGTATGACAAGCGAGTCGTGACTTTAAAAATCGTTATAACTCGCTCAAATTGCGTTTTTGGAAAATTTATCCATAACAAAATATTCATTATTTTGCAAGTAGTTCGTGCCTACAGCTTCGTTTCTGAATATTTTGAATTTGTATTCAATTCTTTATTCTTCTTCTTTCATAATTTTATATATCCTATACCTGGGCATAGGTATCCTTTCATTTATGAAGAAGCAATGGAGCAATAGTCCACTATGCTGCTCCAGTGAGTGTTGGCAGACTTCACATGTCTGCAAAACATTTTTATTCCTTAGATATGCAGGTTACTGAAAATGTTTTTGTTCACCGCTGAGTCCTAAAGTAAATCGTCACTTAAAATGAAGTTGGAATTAAAAATATAGACCCCTATGAACCTGGGTTACTCATATACCGGAAAATTACTCCTGTGCTACAAACAGCTATACCAGTGAAATATTTGATTGTTGTTATTTTATTATATATTAACAGTAAGCTTTAGTTCAAAATTGAGTCTTTGAATCATGTAATTACTTTGTTACAGTGTTCCGAACTCAGAACAAAACGATGAAAAACTCACAATTGACGAGTTCTACAATACTCTGCTTACTCATAAAAATATTGTTGCATGTCATTCAGTATATGCTGTTAATATGGAGAGATTAGCTGTTATGTTAAGTCACCCTAGTTATTAGGTTATATAATTAAATATATTTTTAAGAACTTTGTATATAAATGACTATTTATAAGTTGAGGTTTTAAAGATAAAATAAAAAATATCGATAAAAGATTATTTGATGTATTAATTTAATAATTTTAAATTTTGTACAACCGACTTCAATATAAATTATTAAGAATTACTCAAAAACTATTGGTCAGACCTTGATCAAATTTATATGGGACCACATGAGAAGCAGCAGCTTTCAAATAAAAAACAATCATCCAAATCGGTTCATCCAAAAAAAATTTTGAGGTAACACACATAAAAAAAATATACAGTCAAATTGAGTACCTCCTCCATTTTGAAGTCGGTAGAAAAACAAATGGAATTAACTTGAGACCCTTTATATCGTATTTATATTATTTCGTATCATTTTAAATTACTGTTTTCTGATTAATAAGGTTTGACTTTATCAGACTTGATATAAAAAAAAATTTTAGTAATTTCAAAGTAATGATTTGTTATATTTAAGCGAACACTACACATTTAAATAAAACTAGTTTTACGGATTTTATCGTGTATATTAACTTATTTGATATTCCCGACGTTTCGAGTACTTTACAGCATACATGGTCACAGGCGGACTGGGGTCCTTGATGTCCCAATGTCATAGTTAACCACGGCTACGTCCAGATTAAAACTAATTAATTTCTGTTCCGATCCACGCAGTGTGAACTTACAGTATCTTGAAGTCTTGCAGTTGTATGCTTGGGTTGGGATTTAATTTTATTAATTATAGGATCCCAAGCAGATGGTAGCACCCAGCCATCTCTATTGAAATTAGGATGTTTTTTGACTTGAATAGCCTCGCGAATCATCCTTGGGAGGAATCAGTGTTCTTTAGCGACGATTTGTGGGCGATCCAGGCGATCAAGTATGTTTTAATGGAATCACGCTTCAAGATGAACCCAATCTTGTCAGTGACACCTCTCAGCAGTGCAGCAGGCATACACTCGACTGTGGCCGGCTTCACTCGTTCACTGTGACGTAGGCGCGGGACCCGAAGCTTATTGTCGTGCAAAACTTGCTTGACTTGTTGGAGCTCGGCGGCCAGGTGTTTACTGTCACAGATCCCTCGTGCTCTCTGAAACAAAGATTTACCCACGGTAGCTAACTGTGAAGGATGGTGATGAGAATCACCGTTTGAATATCTATCTGTATGGGTCTTTTCTATACACAGTGTGGCTCAAGGTGTTGTCAGGATTCCGAATTACTAACAGATGTGTTAAAGAATAGCTAAGATCTAAAGAATTGTTTGCCTCTTAACTCCATTGTGAACTGAATTTTAGAATTTATGGAATGAAAATGTTCTAAAAATGCAGTTACTTTATCTAAAGGTAGAATTGCAGTAAAGTACTCGAAACATCGGGAATATAAAATAAGTTAATATACGCGACAAAATCCGTAAAACTAGTTTTATTTAATTTTCAAAGGAATTTAGTAAGGGTGTATTCAAAAAATACATGTTCAACTATAATAGATTTAATGAAATGTGTTATTTATAGATAACATGTGCATACATTTACAAAACATTTGCATAGAATTTTACATAAAACATATAAATAAAAACAAATTACAGTAAACATTAATTACTAATACTAAATTCGCACCTTATTAACTTTGGCAGTTAATTTGTATTTAAATTTTAATACATCTGTCTTAAATTTGAGAAAAGAATTACATACCAACATTTACTAGCAGTACAGTTAACCCACGCGAAAACATGCTGCGAAAACAGCCGCTGGGAAATTTATATGACAGCCCTAACTATAATATTGTCTGACAAACAGGTTACATGATATAGTTTTCCTCAAATTGTTCAAAAAAAACACTTTATTCGAGTAAGTAATAATAATAATAATCTTAAGTATGGAAAATATTATTATTAAAATAACAAATTTTTCTCTACTATATTTTGGGCTTGTGTTTTTTAAAGAATACTAATTACGCTATTACTAATACTCCCGATAATCACTAAGAAAGCTTAAGAAGCTAATGCTAGGAATGGTTCGCCACAGTTGTGGAATGCAAGAATGAATGAACCCACGACTATCCGAGGTTTTTAATCAAACAATTTCAAATCCGAGGACCTTTAATCATTAGGCTACTATCGCTTTAAAATATTATATCTTAATATTGTATAAAAATTTTAAATTAAAAATTTTGTACAACCTACTTCAATATAAATGATGAATAACTCAAAAACTATTGCTCAGACCTTGATCAATTTATATGGGACCACATATAAAGCACCAGCTTTCAAATAAAAAAAGAATCAATGAAATCGGTTCACCCAGTACAAAGTTATGAGGTAACACATAAAAAAGAACATACAGTTGAATTGAGCACTGTCTCCTTTTTGAAGTTGTTAGAAAAATATACTGATTATTAACGATCTTAATATTTGCAACATTTAGGTTTATTTTATTTAGCATACTATATACTCACTTGTTACGATTATATGTTAATATTTACAACTGGTATGATTTATGTAGAGTAAATGACAATTGGTATGATTTATGTAGAGGTAGTTGGTGAGTTGCTAGGCTCGGATGGTGACTGAACACTGGGTACAATCACAGCTCTTCTCACTTGCGGCGATCCATGGGGTGAATTTTGTGGGATTCTCTGTTGTCCCAACTCCTGCATCTCGATTACCTCCTCTTCCTCTTGTCGGTGGCTACCAAGAAACCCTCGCCTCTTCCATGCGAAATATCCAAGTATGCAGAGTGTCACCACGATCAGAACCGCGCGCCAGTTACACCGGTAACAGAAGCAGTAGACATGAGTCCTGAAAAGAAGAATTGAAAAATAGTTATTCAACTTATTTGGTAAAACGTATTTGGATCAAGAAACTTTGATTAGAAGTGGCAATGGACCGGTCATATAGTTTTACGAATCAACAAACTGATGGGCAAGAAATGTGAGTCTAAAGTGGCAGCCTCGTACCGGCCAGGGAAGTGTATGACGGCCCCCTGAATGAGTTCCCCGTCTTTATGTGGCGGGGGGCTTAGTAACCCAGTACGGATGTGTGACAGTTGACTGCAGCGAGAGAGGGGTTCTCTCCCCCTACCGCTGCAGCCGATTTAGTCGCGAGAAAAAAAGTGTTGGTATGGCGATACGCAATTCGCCCAATCCCCGCGATTCTGGAATGGCCGCAACGCTGGTGCGGTGGTGGTAGGGCCGCGACGCAGAGGAGTTTCGGTTTTACGGTGTGCGCTTTCCTTACCCTCCGTGGCGAAACGTAGTCGGCAGCGACCATAGACCAGATCCGCTGCTGGGTTCAGGAAGGGTGGTGCTTCCTAGTGCTCGTTTTTTTTGGCTTCATGGCCTCCGCTTTCGGACTCAGGGGGGTTGCGCAGGTGGAGTTGGAGGCCGTAAAGGAAGGCGCGCCTTGTCTTACGGGCGGACGGCCTTAACTGAGAAGGAAAAGAGGGAGGAGTTGTACACTTACAAAGAGAGGCCGCTATGGGGCGGCTGGCGGAGGTGGTACCGCAATGTTTGACATAGTTCCGTGGCCCAGCCATTATGCGCCAATGGTGAAACACCATAGGAGTTTTAGTACGACGTAACCCGTCCTTGCCCCCGTGAGACTGGTTTGCTTGATCATTTCTCCATGTAAAGCGTCGGCCCCCTGCTAAATGCAGTGACGACCTAGTAAGCCATGCAGGAAGTCGATCGATGCATTTGGCTTAGGAATTTATGGCATTACTTGGGGGAGGTCTGTGTTCAGCACTATTTATCAAAAGTCCACTATTAAACACAGGATTCCCCCAAAGAATGACTTAGAGTAGGCAACCGTGTTGTTTTATTTTTTAGTTGTTATTAGGAAGATGCTGCTGCCAATCTCCTGGTTTGCTTCCCTCTGTCGCTTCTTATGACACAAATTTGGACCCGGTACCCGGCGGATCCGGCATTTTTTACGCCGGGTATCATTCTATAAAAGAAATCAACTATGAATAATAAATTGGATAAAGATTAACCTTATTAATATTTTTCTAGATTGTGAGAAGTCAGAAAGTGTAAAAAAGGCACGTAGGGCATTTCACAATGCTGTGTTAGTCCCAATCTTAATATATGGTAGTGAAAGTTTGATGGGGCAGAAGAATCACGAGAGTAGAAATGCTGTAGAAATGCGTTCATCAAGAAGTATGTTAGAGCTGAATCTGACTGACAAGGTGGGAAATTTTGTGATATGAGAAAAGTATTGTTTGCAAGATGATGTCGCGACCAGGATTGAGATAGCAATGCTTCGGTGATTCATTCTTTCTACATTACCAAAATGTAGAAAGAATGAATGAGGAAAGAATGAAAAAGCTAAGCTAAAGAAATGTTGCAGAAGTGAACAGCAGAGTCGGCAAGGGACGCCCTAGACAAAAGTTAGTCGACCAAATTGGCGATAGGTATATTGAAGATGGGCCAGATTAACTCTTCTTCTCAATAACTGGCTTTACGGCTCTGGGATCTAGCCCTTCTGAGCCTGAAGTAACAATATTATATTATAATAATTATTCTTCATAGTACACTGCTTCACAATATGTTGATGCGTCACATTGTGCAGCCCTTGGGAGATTTTGACAGTAACTTGAGCCAGCAGACAGCTGACGGTTGGCGATGGTATCTCAAGGCGCCTAAGCAGACAGGCACCTTATTTTGAGAATCACATCACTATCAGAGCACTTGTTTCACAGTTTCCACTAATAGTTCACATGCGCAGACACTTTATACACAAAGTCGCACCACTTTTACTTATCAAAGTCCACTTCAAACCATTATTTAAACAATAAAACAGGAGCAGCAAACCGCCGCCGGTCAAGTTCCCGCCAAAACTCCGGGCCAGATTAAGAGTAGCCTTAACCGTCGAGCATGTATGCGTAGGTATATGGATGTCAATGAGGCGAGAAAGGGGTGTCAGGTTCGTGCCAAATGGAAGTTTGTAGTCTATGCCGACCCCTCTGGGTGACAGGTGTAAGTGTTTATTGCGCTCGAATGAACTGTATTGTGTTTCACATGTATAGCGCAATCTGTTAGACAATACTCTTGCTTTATCGCGTAGTATTGTAAAAGTATAAAAGTAGTACATAAATATGTGTATCCACGAGAACTGCTGCCGACAAACTGTGTTCACAGTTTGGCAGATTGTGATTGTATGCATTATGTACTTAGAATTTGGTAGCAAATAAATAAAAAAAAAAAAGTTATGTCACTGCGATCTTGTTGTTATCCTGGCCGCTATATATTTTGGCGCCAATTTCTTTCAAATTTGAAAGAAGGATCAGATGCAGTCAAGCGACGAATAAATTTACACCACGATCAAGATAACGTTAAGAGTTGTTTACAATTAAGTTACATCTGAGCTAAGATACTTTGAACATTAAACATTTCAAACAAAATAATATACCTTTAACTTCGAGTTTAATCCGATCAGTATATTCCTTGCCGTCATCCAAAGCTGCTCCGCAGGTCCAGATTCCCACATCTTCATATTTGACTTTACGTATAGTAACAGCGCAATCACCGCGGTCTAAACTTTTATTTGGCGGGAAATAATATCTATTTAAAATTGGACTGAAAAGAAATACTTAAATATAGTAGAATCAGATGAGGATATAAATATGTTTCTTCATTTATTTTGATATTATGATTTTGCCATGTACCATGTTGTGTGGTTCAGCGATTTAAAAAAAAGAGATTGATTGATAGAGAGAGATGTTCAGTCTTGTCACTAGCCTTAATAAAGTGTGAGGCAACACAAAAGAAATCCTCTACGACACCACTAAAATTGTTAATCGCAATTAAAAGTGCTAATTTATCCCTAGTTCGGTAATATCTATTTAACCAATAGATGATAGGAGACTCAGTGGGAGTTGTAAAATTAATGAACGGGGGAAGGAGGACGAAGGCCTATAGTCTTTTTTTTTTTTATAGGATAAGGGTGACAAACGAGCACACAGTCCACCTGATGGTAAGTGGTTGCTGCGGCCCATAGACATCTACATCTATCCTCTGTTACTAATCAAAATGTAGATGTGTTGTCACCCGTGAGGACTAAGATGAAATGCCTCATTTCCAGTAAAAAGGGCCTCCGGCCACCTGCACTCACCAAGCGAAACGCAGAGGTAAACCTCTACTTCACGCTGGTTTTCTGTGAGGTCGTGGTACTACCCCGGTTCGAGCCGGCCCATCCGTGCGACAGCAAAAGCTGCCGCGTGGATAGCGTGCGTGGAATAAATGTCTGCTGGATATTTTTTAAGCTTAAGATTTTACCATTGATTCAACGCATGCGGTATATACTTAATGTCATTTGTTCGCCAAAAGTCTATTGAAGTGCTATGGAAGCGAATACGCTGAGATTACGTTGTGTGATGTAGATGGTTGAATAAAAAAGACGTTTCCAAAGAAAATAATGGGTCCATCTCTACCATTAATTGCTGTGATATTACAGTCAGACTTCTATGTAGTATACGCAGAAGTCTTTGATAACTGTTTGGCCGGGGAAGGAAAAGGAGGGATCTTCCACTGGACTAGGTAATAGGCCCGGGGTGCGGCCAATGCTCCGAGTGGTAGTACGAAACTATTCTACTTATATATAAGAGCAGTACTTCCGAACTTTGATAGAACATACGGTTGTGGCGGCGCTGTCGTCGCGCCATAGCAGTATGACAAAATGACACGGAAATACTCGAAGGCTCTTTTTCTAATGTCGCTTAAATTAGATACTTACTTAGAAACACTGACAGTTGAATCAATGCTGAACGGACTGGTATTAGGCGGCTCGAATCGGCAGTAACTTAGCGGCACCAAGCCTTTTGTAGTCGCACAGGCTAAAGTTACAGTCTTTCCATGCATTGCCGTAACATTATCTTGCACCGCCGCCACGTTATCCACCACTCTTAGTTCAATCACCTTCATCATCTCAACACGCGTTGCTTTCATGCCGATATAACATTTCCATACTCCGACGTCGGCTTTAGTTGCATTTATTTTAATAATACAGTTCCCATTACTTGCTGCTAAGTCTGTAAAACTGGAGAGGTAGGTATATAATTAAATATCTAGTGTAATTCTACAACGTAATATATTTTCTTTAAAGAAAAGTCCCGCTGGGTGTCTGGTTTTTCCTAGGACAGAGGTTATTTCCAAACCAGTGGTAAAAGCCAATGCATTTCAATCAGTGTTCTTGTAATATATATTGAATAAAAATTATTCTATTCTATTTTGCGCTATTCAATTTTTTTTAAATAAGTCTCTGTTATACCTAGATATCGTGAATTTGTGTGTAAAAATAATATTCTAAATAAAATAGGTAAAAAAGAACTTGTATGTATGAACACGCAAATAAAAAATATCTTTTTGTGTTAGAAAGCTCGTTTATCGATATACACTACTACTCATAGAGGCGGAGCAGTAACCATAAACCTTGGTCATGCACTCATCATGTGTTACACAGGCGTATATGTTGTCTGTCTGTCCGTGTCTGGTCGACCGTTTTTTTCAAAACGGGTAGAGGCATCACGTTAAAATGAATACTTGGAGGTGTAAAAAATTAGAACTTCAAAGTCATCGAAATGAAAAGATACGGCCCTGATACAAACTCACACATCAAAACCTATAGGTTACTTCCCTTTTGCCTAGAATTATGAATTTTGGCAAAAAGCAAGGTGTCATGGCGCAAGTAAAGAAAAAAAATTCAAAAGTCGTAAATTTTTAGTAATATCACAAAATAAAGTACATGAATGAAGACACATTACGAACTCTGTTATAGAAAAGGTAAAGGGAAATCACTAGATACTTCTGAAGAAGGCTTGACTGTCTTGTGGCCCAGGGGTAAATAAAATAGAGATGGGCCGAATATTCGTTTCATATTCGGTATTCGGCACCTTTACCGAATATTAGGGTAAATCACCGAAGATTCGTTAAAGTGGTACTCAAAGTGCCCACTGTATTAAATGTACGAACTTGTTTGTCCACATGTCAGATGAAGCCGTTAGACATTCGGCCAGACATTTGGACATTTGGCATTTTGAGTTATCTAGCTCACCTTGAATAGATTTTCTTCTTAAATTCTTCTTAAAATATCTTAAATTTTTCGTGCAGTTGTGGAATCACTGTTTCACCTAGATATATATTTTCGCTCGGTATTTGGTATTTGGGCATTACCAACTGCATGAGCCGATTAAAGCCTTTATTTTCGACTATATACATTGGCTGGTGATCTATTGCTATCATTTCAGCAATTAAATTCGTTATTGGAAGTGATCTGGGGTCATCGATTCGCTATTTGGAAATAATTAAAAATTTTGTACAACCGATTTCAATATAAACTATTAAGGCAAAGATGTTTTATAGGTCCAGATACCGTGTTGCTAACACACCGCAACGTTCATAGTGAAGACAGTCTTTGATTCATGTGTGCGTGAGTACCACGTGACGCGCATATCTTAAGCACCATGGCTGCATTAATGTGCGTGACTTCGGTAATAACAGTGCGAATCGATTACCCAAAAAATTACATTTATAATATTATAAATGTAAATTACGCTTGCACAATCGTTACTACTCCCTATCCTCGACTATGCTGACATTTGTTACCTTGATGTCACCGAGGAGCAACTTAACAAGCTTGAGCGCCTCCAAAATCTCTGTATTCGGTTCATATTTGGACTTCACGAATATGACCATGTCTCAGAATACCGCACTAAGCTCAAGTGGCTCCCAATCCGTCTTCGTCGGAATACTCATATACTTTCTGCTCTCTACTGCGTCTTATTTAATATAGCTAGTCCTTCCTATCTTAAAGAACGTTTTAGATTTCTCAGCTCCTGTCATAATTTTTCCTTACGATCCAAAGAAAATCTTTCCCTCCAATGTCCTGTGCACTCCTCGACTTATTATGACAAATCATTCTCTGTTCTTGGAGTAAGACTTTGGAACTCCTTACCCCAGTCAATTAGAAGTGCTCAATCTTTAAATGTATTCCAGAAACAGATTAAAGAATACTATTTGTCTCTCTAACTCCTCTCACTTCCTCCGCTTAATTATGGTCATTGATCTGCCTGAAGAATGTTATCTTTTTAATGCATAAGTTTGTATCTTTATTTTATTTTTATTTGTCTTTATTATTTTTATTTTTTATTTTAGTGCTTTTTCTTATTTTGTATTTATTTCTTCTTCTGGGTTGTCTGGAAGAGATTGCTATGTAGCAATAAGACCGCCCTTTGTATTTCCCTCAATAGTTGTTATTTTTTATTTTTGATGTTGTTATCTTTTCTTGGTGTACAATAAAGAGTATTGTATTGTATTGTATTAGTATGAATTAACAAGAATGATAGATAAACTTTTAAAACCGATTTACAATCGGCTATTTGAGGGTGGAACTATACCGGTTACTACTATAACGGTTCTGAGTGACCAAAAAGGATAGAAGCACAGGAAAGTGCAATTTCATGCTGCCAGATGTAGTTCAACCCTAACCCTTAAAACGGTTTAACTCTATAGGTTGCGTAAAATCTGTACAATTAGACTGTTTAAAACCCCTATACAGATAACCTTTGTGGTTGATCATGACATTAAAAAATGGTAAAAACATTTCATAGACTAGGCAACACTCGCATATTATTGCGCAGTATTATTATTTGTATTGACATTTAGCTTTCGTATTCTTTTACAAAGAAATACACCATAAAATTGTATAGTTCTAAAATTGTATAGTATTGTGATGTTCTTATCCTTATCTTTTTTCCAAGAGTAATTTTTAAATAATTTCACAGCACAAACAGTCATTTTGCGAAATTAAAAACACCGGCGCGTGACGTATGTTCACAGCGAACGTCGCTGGCGTAATGGCGGAACGATCGAACGAATACGCCAATATTGGCGCCTTTGAAATGGAAGCGTTTTAAGCGCGCGTACACGGTATCTGGACCTATAAAATATCTTTGTATTAAGGATAACTCAAAAACTATTGGTCGGACCTTGATCAAATTCATATGGTATCACATGTGAAGCACCAGCTTTCAAATAAAAAAAATGAATCATCGAAATTGGTTCACCTAGAAAAAAGTTATGAGGTAACACACATAAAAAACATACCGTCGAATTGAATACCTCCTCCTTTTTGAAGTCGGTAGATAAATTAATCTTTTAGTGTAGTTTGAGTGGATGGACAGGTTTTAGTATTTGTAGATTCAGCACCACTGGTAGAGGGTTGGGTGAACTGTGCAACTTCAGATTCATGCTGTGTCATTTCAATGTTTTGTATATTTGAGCCTACTTGATGCAAAGGTTTTTCTAGACCAGAAAATCCAGCAGTCTTTTTCAATTTTAAATGATTGCTCAAAGCCGAGGATGAAGCTTTCCTGCCGCTGCCACTCCGCGAAAGTATTTTTACGCAAATCGTACATTTCACTTTACTTTGGTCGTCAGTTTCTCTAAAATAAATCCAAATAGTAGATCTCCTCCTGCCACTCATTTTTATCATATATTTATCAATTTTCACTAAGAATAACACACACACACTTTATTTCTCACAAAAACAGTCAAAACATAAGCACGTGTCGACAATTAGCTCAGTACTAGATGATGCAATAACATGTCAGGTGTGGCGGGGGAGTGAGGGAGCTTAGGTACCGAGGTGATCCTGCCGAACAATGTTCAGCCGAATATTCGGTTCGGTAAGTTTTACCGATCTTTCGGCCGAATATTCGTATTCGGTGAAATCCATATTTGGCCCATTAAATACCATAGTCAAAATTTGTGGACGTCGCATGTTTCATCTGATTCTAAAAGTCTAAACAGACTTTTACAGGGGAACGAAAATATCGTAGATGACTAGGATTCGGAGGCGACTGATTTTCTTGTTGAACACGAAAATCAACAACAAGAGGAAGAATTAAATTAGTCTTAAGAGTGATTGTTATTATCGCACGTTGATCTCATTTTATTTTTACATTATATAATTCTAATGGTCCCCACTCACGGTCAGTTAAACTGACATCAGTTCAACTGATCATTTCCAACAGAATTAATCCAAAAAAATTTCGACACACACGGTCAGTTCAACTGATCAGTTCAAACTAGGGCTTTTGGTATTTTTAAAATATTGGATTTTCAATATATCGTTAATTATAAATATATCAATATCGGAGTTTTATATATGGGAAACATAAGCGATATATTGATGCTTATTGCTTAAAAATGATTCACACAGAAATTAAATTATAAATGTATGAAAATGTTAGGTCATAGTTCTTTGTAATTATTTTACTAAGAACTATAACCTAATTATTAAAGAGCCATCCATGGTAGCTCAGATGGTTAGCGCTCGCTGTAAATTTCACAGTACGCGAGCAACCCGGGTTCGATCCTCGCCGGCACCAATGAAATTGTTAATTGCAATTTTAAGTGCTGATTTACCAGGTGCTCGGCGATGAAGGAAAACATCGTGAGGAAACCTGCATATCTAAGAAATAAAATAAAAATTTCAGAAAACGTGAAGTTCGCCAACACGCATTGGGGCAGCGCGGCGGACGTTGCCATAAAATCCTCTCAGAAGTTAGGAGAGGCCTGCCCTGCTGAGGAGTGCCCAGCATTAGGACGTATATAGGCTGTAACTTTAACTTTTTTTAATTATTTTTTAATTTAAATAAGACAATTATGTTTACCAGTATTTGTCAGTAAGAGTTTTCAAAAATACTCGTTGTTTTATATGTTCAGCTGTTTCAATACTCCAATTATTGGGCACTAAAAGATTGATTGTAGAAGTGATTCAGATGCTTTGGATGCAGCTGAAGTATTTAACAGCTATTTCTGATAGCACGGAAGTAAATCATAAGACGCCTAAGCGATTAAAATAACTTGAGGCTTATACCAACATCGAAGCACTTATTTCGTCGTTTTCTCTAATAGCTCACATGTGCAGACACTTAATACACATAATCGCATCACTTTGATAAAAATCCACTTCAAACGATTATTTAAACGATAAAACAGGAGCAACCATCCGTCAATGGTCAAGCTCCTGCCAAAAGTCAGAGTAAGTAAAGTAGTACTAAGTTTCATAAATTATAGTGATTTTAATATAACAGAGATATACTTTACAAAATTAGAATTCTTTTTAAGATAATAAGCAAATAAATGAACTGGGGAAAAATGAAAAACATAATATAGTGTAAATAAAGTATAGTAGATTGGGTCCATCAAGAATTAGGATTTAAGTTTACGATGGTGTTGTAGATTAAATGATTTACGTGAAAAAATAAAAAATTGAATTATTTTAAAATATATATCGACTGTCGTATATCTATATTTCAATATCAAACTTATATTTCAATATATGTCGTCAAAAGTATTAGAAATAAATATCGGTATTTCTAAATAATAAAATAGATTTTTCGATATATCGATATTTTATCAACAGTCCTAGTTCAAACGTGGGGCGTGGCCGTGGGCGTTTCGTTTGCGTGACTCCTATAAAATATCATATATATAGATAAATTAAATGATATTTAATAATACCTAAATCTTATTTAATAGCATTTCCTGTCTATTAATGGTGTTGTAATTGGTGGTGTTTCGTAGTAGCATAACTGAGATCTTTTACCCCACCTTCTTTGTTCACCATCATGAAGGTAATATAATCACATTAAACTAGGTCTTTATGAGCCCTTTCAAATGAGTTCAAACACGATACTTCTATCTAGTGCCGTCACTGAGATCCTATATCCACCTACGGATTGCACCATCAGAAAGATGAGATCATAAAAGTCACCTAAGTCTTTATGAGCCCTTTCAAATGAGTTCAAACACGACCGTTCTATCTAGTACCGCCACTGAGATCCCATACCCACCGTCGGATTACACCATCAGAAAGGTGAGGTCATAACAGTCATCTAGGTCTTTATGAGCCCTTTCAAATGAGTTCAAACTCGACCGTTCTATCTAGTGCCGCCACTGAGATCCTATATCCACTTTCGGATTGCACCATCAGAAAGGTGAGGTCACAGCAGTCACCTAGGTCTTTATGAGCCCATTCAAATGAGCTCAAACACGATCGTTCTATCTAGTGCCGCCACTGAGATCCTATATCCACCTTCGGATTACACCATCAGAAAGGTGAGGTCATAACAGTCACCTAGGTCTCTATGAACCCTTTCAAACGAGTTCAAACACGACCGTTCTATCTAGTGCCGTCACTGAGATCCTATACCCACCTTCGGATTGCACCATCAAAAAGGTGAGGTCATAACAGTCACCTAGGTCTTTATGAGCCCATTCAAATAAGTTCAAACGCGGTCTTTCTATCTAGTGTCGTCACTGAAATCCTATACCCACCTTCGGACTGCACCAACATAAAGGTGATATCATCACAGTCATCTAGGTCTCCATTTACCTATTTGAAAATGAGTCCAAACACGATGGTTCTACGTAGTAGCATCACTGAGATCCTTTACCCACCTTCTGAGTCCACCATAAGGAAGGTGACATCATTACCATCACCTTGGTCTCCATCCTCTGTCAAACCAACTTCTCTAAATATATATGACGGCTCCGTGGCGCAGTGGCTTAGCAATGAATTGCGGCGCGGGTTCGAATCCCGCACGGAACAAGTATTTGTATGGCCTACAAATGATTGTTCCGGGTCTGGATGTTTGTCCTTGTGCAATTTGTGTTTGTAAACTGCCTCCACGATACAGGAGAAAATCCTAGTGTGGGGGCAACGTCTTTTCTTAATAAAAATAAATATATAAAATAATATAAAATCTTAAATCATGTTATAAAAAATTATAAAATATATATAAAAGCTACTGAAACTATAACAAAGTATGTACTTACCAATAATGGAAACGAACTGAAGCCAGCGGATTACGGTGCGCCCGGCAAAATACGTGGGTTGCCGTCAGTTAAAAATGATTTCACATTCACGATCAGTTTTTGGATGTACGCATGGAAATATATGTACTTCGTACAAGATGTACGTCAGTTCAACGGAGCAGTTTAACTGACAGCACGCCCGAATAAAATCCGTGTGTTGCCTTCAGTTAAAAATTTCAACTTAAGATTTCACATTCACGGTCAGTTTTTGGATGTACGTCAGTTAAACTGTTCAGTTTAACTGACCGTGAGTGGGGACCATAACTTTCTTGTTTTTTTATTCATACATTCGAAAACGTAAGTTTAAAAGATTGATAAATTTTAGACTAATTAATGAGTTTTATAATGTAAACCAATAACGATTTAAGCTTTAAACTTAAATATATCAAAACTAGCCCAATATGGATTGGATCCTTTAGTTTAACTATCTACGTCCAATTTGGTGTAACCCGACTGAATCTAAAAGCGAAACAGTTGAACAATTTTATTTATACAACTGTAATATTTAATTTAACTTATGTTACCTACAATATAAGTTAAATTAAATATTACAGTTGTATAAATAAAATTGTTCAACTGTTTCGCTTTTATATCATATATAAATTTATATATAATATATTTTAAATGTGGATTGATAAATAGGCGCAAAGTAATATGGTGATGACAATAATAACATACAATTAACGTTGATAAAAATTCAATTTCGAACACTGATGAGCCGCATGAAGGTTAAAGACAATATTAAAACATTGCATACAATATTATCACTTACGAATATCTTCTGCCGCTTGGATGAAGAAATCCACAATAAGACATTGGTAAATTCGTATTACACTGTATCGCGACGTTTTCATTTTCAAGTGCTAAAATAGTTTCCACGCCGCTATATTCAAAAACCCTGAAAGCTTTACGAAACAAATACATTTTATCTTTCTAAATAAACTATCACATAGTGTCACTTCATTTTATATTTAATGTACCGTAAATGTATTTTGAAAACTTGATTAATATAATAAGAGGTATTAATCGATACACTTTCACTACACTCATCATGTCAATTGTTTGTAGGTACACAATCAACTATTTCTTAATGTTCCGGATCGCCGTAACGCCGTTCGAAAAATGAATGAAACGCGTTGGTCTTGCTTAAACTGGAGGCAAGCGGCGGTGGGGAGGAACTTTTTCTTTTCTTGCTGCTGTTTTCTTTTCTGTGGCTGGAGAGCGACTGCCGACCGTTCCGGCCGGCCCGTCTTATATATGATTTGGCCGTTGCTGGCCAGCGGACCCTTGCCTCACCCCCGCGCCTTTCTTTATTGGTTAGATTTCTTACAAACTAACGAACAGACTTAAATATATAACATTCTTACAACTACTTATTAAACTAATATTTACATAACAATTTTTCTATATACTAATGGTTAAAAGGTTGTTTTTCCAGCAATTTTGAGCTGAGGACCCTGCCCCCCGCCTCAGTACTATAAATATAAAACGTCGTGGCGCGGCGCGCGTAGCCTCATTCGCTCCGCGGCCGCGTCACGGTAACATGCCCTGTTTATTATTTTTCGTGCCTAAAGGCTTAATATATAAGAAATTAAATTGCACTATATAAAGGAATACAATTTACATATAATACTTACTCTACAATTTTTTTACTTAAATATCCAAGATTTAGGCATTTCAACCACTGTTAAGGCCTTAATGAAATGTCAAAAGGTCGACACAACTGGGTAATAAGTATTTATTTTGCTCCAATTACTCTGTGTTGTGTAAACTAACGTATCGTAATATTAATAGGTACTTTAAGTGAGCAATTTTGGTTTAAAACGTATAAAAAGATTTTTACTAGCGCCGAGTGAAGTTAGGTCGCCCTTAAAATCGGACTTGCTTTCAATTTTATAAACGAAACGCTATTTAGGTACGTACGAATACCACCAGCAAACAAAGACTGATGTAAGTAGTAGTAGATTATCTGACTTTTAAATGTTTTTGGATTCAATATTGTACTTTGTTCAGCCATTTACAATTATGAGCTACTTTGTAGGTCCCTAAACATTTTTACAAAATAGGTACATAAACTGAAATATACAAAATACTGAGAGATATACAACATAATTTGGAGCTTACAGTAAATATTAATCAAGATTTCCATAACAAGAACTTTTTATAAGGCACGCAGTTCAAGTTTGGAGGAGTTGAAATTTAGCAGTTTCTCGAAAACTCAACATCTATTATAAAAATCCAAGATTTTTCTAATGTGTTCACCATATTAAGCAATAAAATGCAATGATGCCAAACAGTCTTTTACTGAACTGCTTGACCACCATATTATGCCATTGCGTATTTAGAAAAATAAATATTTTGAGAAAATCATTTTTCGATACTACTCATACAAATACTCCTAATGTATCGATACTTTTAGATTTTTTTTTAATGAAATTAACGTGGCAAACACAGACGTACAAAGAGATACAAGGAAAGTTTAAGTTATGATATATAGGATATAGGTTATAATTATGAGAAAGTTATGGTACACTTAACAAAGACGGAGAACAATTACTGGAATTCTGCGCGCGACATCACCTGGCAGTAATTAATACCTTCTTTAATAAAAAGTCGGAACACCTAGTCACATATAAAAGCGGGAACAAGCGATCTCAAATTGACTATATCCTCACAAACAGACATTTACTAAGAACTTTCAGAGACTGCAAGGTAATACCGGGCGAATCTTTGACCTCACAGCACAGAATTTTGGTCGGCTGTATATCGCTAATCAAGCCTATAAAATACACAACGGTCAAAATCCCCAAAAATTAAGTGGCACCTGTTAAACACAGAAAAAGGAGAGAAATTATTAGAGGAGATACGGGACATACTAATTGAAGATATGAAAAATGGCCCTAACATTTCTGCGGAGAATACGTGGTCTAAATTTGAAAAGCTGTGCAGGAATTCAACTGAGAAAAACTTATGAATATCAAGAGGAAAGCTAAATAATAACAAAGATCCTTCATGGTGGAATGAAGAAGTAAAAGGCGCATTAAGGAACAAGAAAGAGTGCTTCAAACAATGGCAGAGCTCATGTTTAAACGACGACCGCATACTATATAAAACCGGTAAAATTCTGGCGAAGTGTAAAGTGGCGAAACAAAGAAATGACTCCAGGGAAAAGTTCTACAAATGCCTTGAAAATGCAAACAATGATAGAGATATATTTAAGATCGCCAAACAACGCCATAAAAACGGTCTGGATATTAAAATTAATAAATACATTAAAGATGAAAATGGCCATTTACTAACAGAAGATAACAAAATTAATGAGCGATGGTGCCAATATTACCAAAAACTACTGAACGAAGAATTCCCGAGTCAACCATTGAATACAACCCCTAGCGTAGCTGGGCCATTGAACAAAATAGGTGAAGAGGAGGTCAAAAGAGCTCTGAAAAAGATAAAAAACCACAAAGCAGTTGAACCGGATAGTATACCCGCTGATCTGTGGAAGCTGCTGGGGCCTAGTGCTGTACAGTGGTTAACGAAGCTCTTTACTCAAATCTTAACCTCCATGAAGATCCCAAAGTCCTGGCGTCAAAGTTATCTGGTACCTTTCTACAAGAACAAAGGAGATGTCAGTGACTGCGGCAATTATAGGGGTATCAAATTTACTTCCCATACTTTGAAACTATGAGAGCGCTTACTCAACAATCGACTTTTTCAGTTGGTGTCCATATCTAATAATCGGTGTGGTTTCGCGCCAGGAAGATCAACGACTGATGCAATCCAAGCCATAAGGATTCTGACGGAAAAACACCGAACCAACAAAGAAGACCTCCACCTAGTGTTCATAGACCTGAAAAAGGCTTTCGACAGAATACCACGTAAATTAGTTTGGGAAGCTATGAGAGCACAACAAATATATCCAAGGATCTGGAACGAGCACAGCTTGAAATACAGACAACCCAAGATAGGAAATCTTGGCGTATAAAAACGAGGAGAGCCGACTCCAAATAAAGGGACAAAGCAAGGAAGAAGAAGAAGAAATTAACGTAGCAAATGTTTCAAGCCCCACAACTATCTATTCTGCCCTGCCATTTTAGATAACATCGCATAGACCAATGAACTAAAGAACAATTATGAACCTAACCTAAATACCTAACCTAACGAAATTTATTAGTGAAAAGTTGAAGATCCTACCTTTCGTTTGTCCCTTTATCTGCTTTTTTTCTGTAATTTGCCTTTATCCACAGTAATTCCATGAGTTTTGGAATGCTTGAATAAATTAGACGTTTTGCCACAATATTTCACAGACTTAAAACATTGATTACATTTTGCAGTTGTTTCGATGGTTTTGGTAAAATATGTCCATATTAATAATTTTGGTGGTGCCATGATAACATTGGAACAATAAACCGATGACTACAATAACTTAAATTACTCGTAACGTCATCATTCATCATTACAGCCCTTCACAAGTCCACTGCTGAACATAGGCCTCCCCCAAAGAATGCCACAAAGCACGGTCCTGAGCCACCTGCATCCATCGACTTCCTGCATATCTTACCAGGTCGTCACTCCATCTAGTGGGGGGACGCCCTACACTTCGCCTGCCGGTACGAGGCTGCCACTCGAGAACCTTTCTTCCCCATCGGTTGTCGGTTCTTCGAGCTATATGGCCGGCCCATTGCCACTTCAGCTTACTAATCCGTTGGGCTATGTCGGTCACTCTGGTTCTACTGCGGATATCCTCATTTCTGAGTTTATCACGCAGAGAAACTCCGAGCATAGCCCTCTCCATAGCTCGCTGAGCGACCTTGAGCTTCCTCATCCGGCCAGCAGTGAAGGACCACGTCTCAGTTCCGTATGTCATCACTGGCAATACGCACTGGGTGTACAGTGTCGTTTTCAAGGTTTGAGGTATACCTGACGAGAAGATGTGCCGTAATTTCCCGAACGCTGCCCAACCGAGTTGAATCCGTCGATGGACCTCTCGGTCGAAGTTGGACTTACCTAGTCGGATTATTTGTCCCAGGTAAACATACTCGTCAACAACTTCGAGCTCAGTGTTCCCAACAACTACCGGCATAGGTGTGACATGGACATTAAACATGATCTTTGTTTTGTACATGTTCATCTTAAGACCTATCCGTTGGGAAACACTATTGAGGTCATTGAGCATAGTGCTTAGGTCCTCCAGCGATTCTGCCATAAGGACTATATCGTCGGCAAATCGAAGGTGAGTGATGTACTTGCCATTGATGTTGATACCGTATCCTTTACAGTCCAGAAGCTTGAAAAAGTCTTCCAATGCAGCGGTGAAGAGTTTCGAGGATATGACGTCACCCTGTCTTACACCTCTCTGCAATTGGATAGGTTTCGTACTCTGGTTCTGTATTCGGATAGCCATCGTAGCCCTACTGTACAAGCACTTCAACACTTCGATATACCGACAGTCAACTTGGCACCGCTGAAGGGACTGCAGCACCGCCCATATTTCGACGGAATCAAAGGCTTTCTCATAGTCCACATACGCCAGACATAGTGGCAAATTGTACTCCTCGGATTTCTGTACAATTTGCCGAAGGGTATGTATGTGGTCTATGGTGCTAAAGCCTTTTCGGAAACCGGCTTGTTCGGGAGGCTGGAAGTCGTCAAGTCTGCGCGCGAGACGATTCATAATGACTCTCGAAAACAGCACGTAGACGCGGCTCAGAAGGGAAATCGGTCTGTAGTTCTTCAAGAGAGCGTTGTCACCTTTCTTGAAGAACAAGACCACCGCACTTCTACTCCACGCCTCCGGTGTAATGCCACCATGGAGGACGGAATTAAAGAGCTTCTGAAGGACTTCAAGTACCGGTTTTCCACCCGCTTTCAGAAGCTCCGCTGTAATTCCATCCTCGCCTGGAGCCTTGCCCTTTTTAAGGTGC